TGTATGTATGTATGTATGTATGTATGTATGTATGTATGTATGTATGTATGCATGTAAGTATATATATATGTATGTATGTATGTATGTATCTATGTATGTATGTATGTATGTATGTATCTATGTACGTATGTATCTATGTATCTATGTATGTATGTATCTATGTATCTATGTATGTATGTATCTATGTATGTATGCATGTATGTACAAATGCTATATGCTGTCATCATTGCATGTTCCCATACAATGTCGAAATTGGTTCTCTGCATTTGATCCATCGCATCTGGGATACACCCAGGTGGAGCAGTGGGCAGCTATTGAGTGCACATTAGGGATTAGGCGTCTTGTTCAGAGACACCATGTTATGTGGGCATGGCGGGGAGTCGAGCTGTGACTTTCTGGTCCCAGGTCGGCTGCACTCTACCCCATCTCGGCCCCCCTATGTATCTACTGTTTGTATACATGTATGTATGCATGTATGTTTGTATGTATGTATGTATGTATGTTTGTTTGTTTGTATATATGTATGTATGCATACACGCACGCATGTATATGTATGTATCAATTGTGGACAATGATTCAAGCAGTAGTTTCTGCAGTTTCTTCAGGAATTGTATGCACATGTCTAAAAGAAAAGAGAATGAGAAACAAATTAACAATTGTCACTATTAAAACTTAATACAGTAAATATAAGCTAATTATCTTGTTAACATTTATTATAACTATTACATCCCATTAAAAAAATAATTTCTTGATATTTATTTTTTATTCACCTAATTAATGATTAAAAATGCAATTTCATACTCATTGACAAGAAAAAATTAAAGTCCAACACCCACCTTTTTTTTTTTTCATATTACATATCCCAATATTAAAGAGACAAAAAAAAGGTCTGTGATAAACATTGAAAAGTAATTATAACTGGTTTTAAAAACAGTTTTGGTGCCAATCTGTTGCAGTCACAGCTTTGGAAACCCCTTTACTTCCACATACGTATGGGGTGTAGTCATGCCAGGGATCTGATCATGGGAGACCACCATTCTATTGTGCAAGGCAGCTGCAAAGATGGGCAGTCTCATGGAGAAAGCACCTCCACTCCACCTTTCTGACTGAGGCCCTAAGTTATTTGTGAAGTGCCGCAGAAGTTGAAGGAAGTTCAGCAGCGATTGGGACACTGCAAGAGCAGGAGTGAGTAATAAGTAGGGATAGGGCTGATCCGATCCAGTATCGGTATCGGGCTCCGATACCAGCATAATTTACGTATCGGATGTTCCGATCCAACCTGCCGATATTTCCGATCCATGATGCATGTCTGTGGTTGTGCTGCACGTTGGCTTCAAACTATGGAATGGATTTCCTGAACGGAGGCGTGTCTCATGAACCCAGAGTAAAAAGACCTGCCTCACATTCAGGAAATCCAGTTCATAGTTTGCAGCCAGCTACAACGTGCAGTAGCCCTGTGGCTAACAGCTAACCAACTTTTCATCTAAACATGTCCGCTGTGTGAAAGTATTTTACACTAAACACCACAAAACAAGACAGCAACGTGCAATGTCTGCAGAGCCATAGCGCCACATTAAACTGCGGTAAAGTTAGTTTTACGATGGACATTCGAGCTCCGGGGCTTCAGCGGTCTGTTATTTTCATTCAGTCCGGAGAAGGCAGTCTGATCTCGGTCAGCCACGCTCAGTCTGCCCCTCCTCCGACACAGAAGACTGAGCGGGTCAGACTGAGCGTGGCTGACCGAGATCAGACTGCCTTCTCCGGACTGAACGAAAATAACAGACCGCTGAAACCCCGGAGCTCGAATGTTTACAAAGAAGTTGCTAAACTTAATCTTAATTAATGACCAACCACTATCAGTTGTAGAAAACGAAGGATTTCTCAGCTTGATACTTGCAGCCAAGATATAGTTTACCCTCCAGGAGATATTTATCAGTACAACAGTAGACAATCATAAAAAGCATATAAATTGAAAATTACAATAAAATTATATATTAAAAAAATAAAAAAACAAAAACAGCTACATTATAAAGAGATTTAAAATACTAAAAACAGAAACATGTTTGCGTTGGTTTATGCCATGAACTTAGCAGATGTTTAAAGCCATCTAATCACTTTAATATCCATTTTAAAGCTAGGAATAAAAAAAAATGTTTTGTGTTAGCAGGATTTAATTCTGACATTGAAACTTATCCAACATTAATAAAACTTACCTCATGTTGCCTATTTGGACATGCATGCATATATTTGTACAGATTGTACTTGCCTGTAGAGAGGAGATTATTACAGCCTCATATGAAATCAATAATGATGATGATATCGGAACGGGATCGGTATCGGCCGATATCCAGATTTAAGTATCGGGATCGGATCGGAAGTTACAAAATGTGGATCGGTGCATCTCTAGTAATAAGACGAGTGATTTGTGATAATTAGCGTGCTTGGTTTTATAGTTAGAGTGTAGTGTGTTTAGTGTTTAATTTAGTCAGTTTTAGAGAGTCTAAATCTAAATCTAAAGAAATGAATGGAGCTGTGGCGTCAGAACCTTCTCAGAGTAGGCAAAGATAAACAAATAAAAAAAAAATGAGTCTGAGATAGAGTGAGGACCTTAACGAGGAGGTGGGAGATCCATTACTTGTTTTAGAAGAGGAAAGAGAGGAAGAGCACATTTATGCCCCTTTTGCACTGCCTCTAATCAGCCCCAACTCTGCTCAGCCCTGCACACCCCTACTCAACCTGGATTTGCACCTGCACTTTTGAACCGATTCTGGAGGCATGTCCAGAATCCAAGTCCAGCTAATGAGAGTTCTGCGATGAGTTACTCAAAGCAGTCTGCTACTCAGATAAATAATAATAATTTATTATTTTTATATATGAATGTTTCTGTTAACTTATTTTATATGTGAATATTTCTGTTCAGTGCCCTGAGACAACTTCTGTTGTGACTTGGCGCTGTATAAATAAACTGAACTGAATTAAATCTGATGAACCAGATTCTACAAAAACATCTATATTTAAATCTAAAAAAGTCAAGTCTGGTCCTCTGGACGTTCAAAAACAAAACAAAACAAACAAAAACAAAAATGTAGAAACGTTTCATCTTTCATCCGAAAGACTTCTTCAGTCTGAGGTGCTGTATTCAGCTCATAGCTATTTATATAAGACTGAGGTGAACACAGCTCCTCAGACTAAAGAAGTCTTTCGGATGAAAGACAAAACGTTTCTACATTTTTGTTTTTGTTTGTTTGTTTTGTTTTTTGAATGTCCAGAGGACGAGACTTAACTTTTTTAGATTTTTCTACCTGGATTATTGAGCATGCATCAGGATATCTATATTTAAAATTCTATATTTTTCTTCATCATTTGATGTATTTGCACTCATTGTGGTTTTGTTTCTTGTATACAGATTATTTTTAGCTTTGAATTAAAGTTTAGCTTTGATTTAAAGCTTTAATTTAAAGTGTAATTCTTGTTTTGTGATTTGTACATCTGTGGGTTAGAATAAAGTTGAACCAAAGGCTGAGTCTCTTCTTTAAACATGTTGGAGGGAAATATTCCTGAGAGATCCAATAACAGTCTTTTTATGATTTTTCAGTTGAATTAACTTTAATTAACAGGTTATTTAATAAAGTCAAAGAGAAAACTGGATTTTACGATAAAGCCGGCACCGTTTATTTACTTTTAATCTTCACTGATTAAAAAAAACGTATTTTCTATTCATAAAATGTAAAAAAAAAAAAAACGTTTCCACCCTCCGTCCCTCCATCCCGGTCCTCCTGCCTGCCAGGGCTTGAATCCGGCCTTTGTGAGCAGGCGAGGCCGGGGCTCGGGGTTTGGCCTCGCGGGCTTCAACGGCTCGACAGCTCGTATGATCCTCCGCGGTGACACCGCTCGCTCGAATTTTATCGTCGGTCACCAAACACAAAAAACCACCTGGATTTCAGAATTAAACATGGCGTTGTCATTATTGTTTTTAAAATCTTAAAAATAGATCCAGCCGCTGCTCTGCATCCAGAGAAATTGCAAAGGAGGATCAGTGAAAAGTTTCTGAGATCCAGTGACTCCTCCCCCTGACCAATCAGAGTCCTGCATTCACGTATGGTCCGGACTCAGCTCGGCTGAGCTCGCTCGGTCCCACCAGAGAAGCAGGGACGAAAACAGGTCCCGAATCAGCCTCAAATCAGCTAAATATACTAGCTAAAGTACTGGTGCAAAAGGGTTCTTTCTGTGGCGGGCTGCCCAGAATTGGGGCTTATTAGGGGCGGAGCAAATGGGGCATTAGCGTCAGACTCCTTCTGAATGCACACTCCTGCCTGTGCCCGATCCCTGGCGTGATGTCATCAGTCTTCTGTAAACATGGGGTGTTTCCTTGACTGGTTTGTTTGTTTAAGTTTAATACTTGCATGGCCCAAATGCAAAAAAATATAAATATTATATTATACGACAGTGATTACCCCTTAAGAACACTCGGGACTATAATGATGGGTGTTGGGCTTTAAGCAATCAGACTATATATGAAATCAAGCTGGATGAGCTTAAAGGTCATGGATGTCAACAATATGGTAAATTGTTATTTGGTTCAAACAAAATAGTGTAAATAAAACCTGGTATACATTTGTTATGACACTAAATTACAAATAGTCTGCTTCAAATTCTTTTTACAAAACTGAAGGAAATACAGATTTTGCAATACAGAAACAGTTCTTTACCAGATGAGATGTTGTAAATGGCAGCTCCAGAAACACTGGCTCAGTTAGCCAGTCATGCTATGGAAGTCTATCAAAAAAACAACAACAAACAAACAAACACACAAACACACAAAAAAAACAAAATACAAGTTAGCTTTCAAAAGATATAAATGACTGCACTTTTTAAAAATCTGTATGATGCCACTGTAAACATGCTCATGTAAATTCAACTGCTTTTCTAAATAGGTTAAAGATCAAAACAGAACCATTAATCGTCATCAGAATGTAATAATTATGTAATAATGCAAACAAAATTGTCAATGCTATAATCAGTATTTTACCCTTACTGAATATTGTTTTTAAAGACACTGCACCTTGAGGTTATTGCTGTCTTTACTTACAAAGTTTGTGTTTTGAGATTCATGAAATGTGCAATTAGTCTTACGTTGTACTTCAGTGAAATTTGTTGACATAACTTTCTTTTATAAAGCTAATAATTTATGTTGCTGTTTGACTGAAATGTGTAAAAGAATGTGTGACAACACATGTAGCTTTTCTCACAGTTACGTGTCAATGCTGACTCAAGATAATAAAACTTATTATCACTTTACAAGTTAAAACTTATATAAACTTGTGCCTCCAAATAACTCACTGTGTCCATATCTGTTAAGTTAGCTAGGCAAACACAAGTAGTTCATTAAATCTCGTAGGCTTGCACAGCTTATTGTGCAAATGCAATTTTTACACTTTTGTTTTCCAGTTTTATATATATTTTGCAGTCTACCAACTTTTAGCTTTAAGCACTTTTTTTTTCTTTTTGTGCTTTTAGCAAATATTTTTCTCCTTTTAGCTATTGTTTTGCTTCTTTTATCAACAACACAGCTCCAGTTTCTATAACACATTTTAGCAGTCATTTGACACTCAGCATTCAAATTATTATTATTTGTTTAATTTCTGAAATTGCAGATTTTTAGTTGCATATTCCAAAGCAGGTGCTACATACAAATGGGAAACTACTACAAATTAGAGTTAGCAACTAAAACAAAATTATCCTACAGTTAGATCTGTTTTGATACTGGAACTTATTTATATATGCCCTTTTTCCATTAGTAACGGTACATAGAACCCGCCCCTTTTTTCAGAACCCTTGTCTCTGTTGTTTCAAGCGGGCAGAGAAGGTACCAAAACGTGACGTCAGAACACTGTTGGTCACTGATTGGTCAGGGGGCGGAGTCTGGATCTTTCAGAAACTTTTCAAAACACCGATCCGCCATTTGCAACTTCTCGTAACTCGGAGCAGCGATTTTAAAAATAATAATGACAACACTTTGGTCTAATGCTGAAATGCGGGCGTTTTTTTGTGCTTGGTGGCCGACGACCAAATTCAGAGCAAGCTAGATAGAGCCGTGCCGGACTTCTCCACCAGAGCCTCGGAGCCGGCTCAGGCCGTGCAGGGCGCCATCTCCCCGGCTCAGAGCTCCACTGGTCACAGCGGAGGATCATATGAGCTGCTGACTCGCAGAAGGCCGTTACCTGGACCCCGGCCTCACGTAATTATGAAGGCCAAACCCCGATCCCAGCAGACAGGCGGACCGGGACTGGTGCACGGAGGGTGGAAATGATCTTTAAAAACATTTTATGTAGAATTTTTTTTTTTTTTTTTTTTTTATCAGTGAAGATTAAAAATAAATAAATAAATAAATGGTGCCCGCTTTATCATGAAATCCTGTTGTCACTTTAATGACTATTAAATAATCTGTTAAAGTTAACTCAGCTGAAAAATAATAAAGACACAAATTTATTGAATCTCTCAGGAATATTTCCCTCAAATATGTTTAAAGAAGAGTTACAGCCTTTAGTTCAAATTTATTCTAACCCACAGATGCACAAATCACAAAACAAGAACTTTAAAGCATTCAACACTTGCTCTTCTCAAGGGCAGACATATCCTCCTCTTCCTCTCTGCTTTGCTTTTGCTCTGTCCTATCTGTGAAACGGCTTTAGAGCCTCTCTTCTACAAATCTTCCGAATCATAACTATGGACTTGGATTTGATCAGTTGGTCCCTCAGTACAATTGATAACATTTCTTTGAAGTGAAGACAGACTTTAGGCGAGTCGATTTGTCCTGTTGGCATGCACACAGCTGGATATCTCATCGACTTGGAAGACTTGATGACGTGTCTATCTCTGCTGTCATCTGTGGATTTTAAGGACGAATTTATAATTGGATTTATGAAAACTGGTTCCTGCTTTTTGGATTTGGCTGGTTCCTGGTCTATCAACAAACAAGGAAGTTGTTGGCAGCAAATCTGGACCTGGTCAGGTTGCTTGTCTTATATCAGGGCTCGGTTTGTGCCTCGAGCACCCAGACTTTTGGCAGAATGGATCAGATCTCAGGGATTATTCTCAGGCACATTCCATTGGTATGGTCATTTAATTTGGACATTTCGGAAGCGAGTGGACCGACACAGACTCAAAGTAGATGTCATTAAAGTTCTGCCTGTCCCCAAAACAATTGTGTTTATCTGAATTTGGCTCCCTGACTGGCCTTGACAGGCCATCTTATCTCAACCCGCCTGGAGAGTTTTGTAAACCTGATGCTCTAACCCCCCCCCCCCCCCACCCCCCCCCCCCACCCCCCCCCACCCCCCCACCCGCCCCCACACCCTACTGAGGAATTTCCATGGACTTTTCAGAGAAGCACAGCTGAATAAACATTCCGTCATCATTTCAGTACTCTGGATTCATCTCTGGTCGTCCACGGCACCCCCCGAGTGTGCACGGATCTCTCCAGAGGGAACAACTTGAACTGTGATTTTATCTGAACTCTGCAGTGCCTCTGTGTGCTGCCTCTGGCTGCTCACCACCCTTGGAAACACAACGTGAACCGTACTGAGCCAAGTAGAACCGTGCTGTACCGGTACTAAATGTACTAATGGAAAAGGGGCATAATTTTATTGAAGCTAAAGGATTTTATGCTGAGATTTCTTACTTGGTTCCCTCCTCTGCAACAGCTTCAGGCTCCAGTTTCCCCTCTTCCTCCATCTTTTCCTCTGAAATCAGTTCTTGTTTCCGGTGTCGGCGAAGACATTTCACTACGACCATTGAAAGGATGAGTAAAGCCAATGCTCCACCCACTGATGCCCCAATAGCAACAGCAATGGTTGAATCTCTAGGAGGGGGAACTGAAGAGAGGAGAGGGTTAATCTTTTGTAGACAAAGAGCATGGAGACAAGTGCAGTGCTGGCTAAAAGCTCTGCTGTGCTTGATTAAACAGAGAGGAAGGAAATAAAGTGCTGCTCTGTGCTTCTAATACAGTATATGTTTCTGTGTTAATGTTAGTGTGTGTGTGTGTGTGTGTGGGGGGGGGGGGGGAGTGAAACAGTGAGTGTGAACACTACTTACAATGAAGTTCAAACTTTGTTGGTCATTATAAGGGAAAACTGACTCATGTCAGTTACATCTTATACACAAAATATACAACCAATAATATGCCTTTTATGCCTATGTAAAAATATAAGCAAGCCCTCAACAGTTATAATTTGCTAAAAGGCAAAGCAAAGCATTTCCTCCCTCTGTAGACTGTGTAATTGGTCATAGCAGTAGAAATAGCAACCTTTATGGAGTGTTTCAGACATCTATTGATGTACAACATCCATAGAAATTATTCTGAAATTGAAAAATATTAGATTTGACTCTATGAACCTATTATATCGCCTTTAAAGAAATACATTTGTAAAATATTGTTTGCACATAATTTTAGTGTGCGTGTCTGTGAAACAACATTTGCATAACGAAAAACATAAATAAATAAACAAGAAAATATTAAAGGACTTTTGTGATGTATGTTTTTTAGATACAAAGCAGATATCTACGTGTAAAAGTGTTCAAAATGCCCCTCGTGTGTGATCTGTGCAGTCACACCTCAAAATGATTTATTTCCTAACTAAACTGACCAATCAGAGGGTGAACTGTCTGTTAATGTCAGACAAGTGTTCACTGCAGATATCACTTCCTACGCCTCTCATGTGCTCTCATATCTCAGACTTTCAGCACTCTTTCCAATTAAATCTGCGTCTGAGCAACTTATTTTCATTGTACACATGAAATAAACTGTCATAGTTTATTTTAATTTTATGTTTTATGCACGTTAAATCTATTTGCTTTGTATTTGTGATGGCATGGTTAGGCTTAGTCCTTGGGCTTTGAATAGAGACAGAAGTTTTTCCCAATTGACCACCTTATAAATACTAGTACTAAAAAGGAGAAACCTTTAAGTAAGGCTTTAAATGTATATAGGCCTGTCACGGTAACAAATTTTGCTGGACAATTAATTGTTTCAGAAATTATTGCGATAAACTATAATATTGTTTGAAATTTGACAATAATTAGTAATTGTTAAATTTACGAATGTTGGTTAATTTTTGTGTGTGGTACCTTTTTTGACCACTGGATGGTAGTATAAGACTGTTTGAACCGAAGGACGGATAGTGAGGGAGTGAGCAGTGTCTCTTTAAGAAAAATGGGCGGGAGGCCCCTTGACGTGACATGGACCAACAGAACTTGTACTCCCTACTACTCTTTACTTTGATAGTAATTCTATTTTTAAGGGATACGTTTTGTGCTAAGTTTTCTTTTTATAAATTTAAATCTTTCATGCACACATAGAAATATTCAGGTTTATAGTTGGCTTAAATTTCACAGGCAAATCTATTAACAGGTTGACACAGAGATTCATTAAACATTTTAAACTCTGTAGGTTGCATGTTGGCATTATTGTCAAGCTCAGAGTCATATGAATTCAGTCCATATGTTCCTTGTGTGAAGTTAGACCATTAAAAATAAAGTTAAGTTGTGTTGTCTTTACAGCAAAAGTCATCTCACAAAATCAAAACTATTAAAAACATTTCTGAGTGTCTGTCTTATTTTGATAGATTTAAATGCAATACAAAAATGAAGTAAACCATCTAAAAACAAGGCTTTTAACTTAAAGAGGGTAACCTATTCTGTGTTTGCAAAAAGAAGTGTTGACATCTTACGTTCTGTAACGACGTTGAACCGGATTACACCGTGTCCTAGGATGCGGTCTGGAGGGTTGTTCACATAGCAGTTGTATATCCCCTCATCCTCGAGGTGAACATCTGATAGGGTGATTGACAAGTCATTCTTGTTCAGGTTTCCAGAAAACACAACCCTGTCTCCAAATCGGTTCAAAGGCAGTGCCTGCATTCTTTTCCGATGGTAATGCATAAACTGTAAAAAAAAACAAAAAACAGAGAAGGTGTTTAGAACTGATTTAGTTTTAGAAGTAGATCATTTGATGTATTGAAGTGTGTAAAAACAGCTATGTTACCTTCTCTTCAGTGTCGTTGTGGGTTTCCTGGTAAGTCCAGTTCATTCCAAACTTTGTAAGGTCAATCTTATAGCAAGAAGTGAATGTACAGGGTATGGTGGCAGTTGTTCCGTTAAGTGCATTTATGTAACTGGGCACCAGCACATCCATGCTTGAACAACCTGAAAAATAAATAAAACTGGCATAATTAAAGGTTCAAAAACGTAAGGGAATTGAAGTAACAATTAAGTTCAAACCAGTGCTACAGTTAAATATCGTCACTTTTGAAAATACTTTTATTGTTACTTTTCTTCAAACAGAAAATGTTCATGTTGCTACAGTGAATTGTGTGCATCATGGCAAGCCATTGTACCAATTTGCTGATCAGCTGTGATTTATCTGCTTGTCTCAAAACAAAAACGACAAAGTTTCTTTTGGCTGCTCTTTCCTGCAGGGGTTGCCATAGCGAGCAAACTCGCATGAACATTTTAGCAGTTATTTTTATGACGGATGCCTTTCTTGACCTAACCTGGGCTTGAAGCCACAACTACAAAACAGTAAAAATAAGGTACTTTGAAGTGGAGATTAAATAACTTTATTTAGGAAGATAAGATGATATCTGAGCTTAATTCCAAATAAAAAGGTAATTTTTTTAGATTGTCAGACAAAATGACTCTTTATGGACTCAACTTACCAATAGTAATACACAATTTTGCTACCAACATATGTGGAGAAAACAGTTATAAAATGTGACAAGGCATACAATTACTTAAACAAGCTTCACTCAGACTGATTTCTTTAAGTATGAGTTGTTTTAGAAGATGTGCTATTCAGTTGGCCCAGTCCTATTATTAGCTGGACTCCCCCATTAGAATTTCTCACAATCCAGGTTACTGCTGTAAACTAGAAAAAGAAAAAAAAAACACTGACACCTATACTGACTACTTATAACTAATCCACACAATCCTACTTAAAAAATATAAAACCAAATATGCAAATGCAAATATGTCTGGAATTTAGAAAATAGCATGAAAAGCAAGTATCAAAAGCGTAGCAGCGTCAAGATGGTCTTCACACTGATGGCAATTTTAAAATTTGCCACCATCAGTAATGGTGGTAAACCCAAATTGTGTAGGGTGATTCATTGGGAAGGGGACCTAAGGCAGTGGCTCCAAAAGTTAGGGTCAGGGACCCCACTTGAGAAAACATACGGTAATCAAATGAACTTTAAAAATGATAACCAATAGCATCTTGGTCCTTAACTGTTACAAAAATAAGTCATTAATGCGAAAAAAAAGAAAAAAAAAAAGATATTCAGTTAATGGTGCTCTTTGTTAAATGGTGTATTAGCAAGGTTTATATTCTTCGCCTAAAATGTTAAAGTTAAAGTAAACAGAAAAGGTTTGGAAACCACTGATCTAAGGCAAATCATAACACAAGTAAAGTTAATTTATTGTCCTTCTTCTTCTTTCGGCTTTTCCCTCTTCAGGGGTCGCAACAGTGAGTCATCCTCCACCATCTTACTCTGTCCTCTGCATCTTCTGTCCTCACTCCAATTACCTCCATGTCCTCTCTAACTGCATCTATATACTGTATCTCCTCTTTGTCTTTTTCCTGTCAGCTGGATTTCTAACATCCTTCTACCAATATACCCACTGTCCCTCCTCTGGACATGTCCAAACCATCTCAGTCTGGTCTCTCTAACTTTATCTCCCAGTTGTTCAGCCTGTGCTGTACCTCTGATGATCTCATTCCTAAGCTTATCCATCCTTGTCACTCCTAAGGAGAACCATTGTCCAATAAAGGAAAATGTTTATGTAAGTAGTCATTTTCTGTTTTTTTTCCTAGTCAAATTGAAATTTTGTCTCATATCAACCACTCAAGTTCAATTATAATGAAGCATTGTGAATATGCTTTGTATTTCTGGTATAGAAGTAAGAATGGATTCACCTCATCTGGAACGTTATAGACGAACTATACTTTAAAAAGACAGTCTTAGAACATTACAACCTTAAACTATAGATCTAATATGGCTTCCACAGTCGCCTAAATAAAACATTAGGACATGTGTTGACATACTGGAAAACATAGTGCATAGAATATTAAATGCAATGCAACTTTATTCTTCCTTATTAGTACCACACTAAAACTACACTATATCACATAGAATAAAAGGAAATAGATGTTATGGTTCCATGGGTGTTGTCCATCTTAGAAACTTTTTTCTCTCAACATAGGCTAACACCCCCTCCCTAATCCACCCCAGACTGCATCCTCCCTCAGTACTGAAGTGTGTGTTCGTGTGTGTGTGTGTGTGTGTGTGTGCGTGCAATGGGACTCTGCACCAATCTCTCCTCTGCAGTCGAGTGTTTCTGGCTCCCTTCCCACTGCTGCTGCACCACTCCACAGGCCTGCAGCTCTGCACCACACACAAATACACACACACACATGCACAAATGCACACACACGTGTGCACACTTTCCACATCTTCACCTACTTCATATATATACAGTGCACCTATATAGTTTACACACACCCATTCTTAAAGTTTCTACTATGTACAGTCCACCTAATGGTAGAGCATTACCTGCTTCATACTCTTCTCTCTAGCACCAACATCTATACACACCCTTCCTCAAGGCCTGTGTTGTCAGCAGTAAGCTCTCCCCTCTAGCTCTGCTATGTCAATGTCATCCCTGCAAACTAACCTATCAGCACGCACAGCTCCCAGCAATGCATTCAAGCCATCACCTCAGTCACTGTCACCTCTGTCTCACGCACAGAGGCACTGGAGACACATGTGCCCTTTTTACAATCAGTTGTGCACAAATATACAGCATGCAATACAGTTTGGGTTGGACTCCAGCTGACTCAGCAGCCCTATGGCTAGTAAGAAAGAGAGAGAAATGCAGAGTTGCTAACAGATGAAATACTGCAGTGAAAAACACTCACATTACTCCTCCCTCTCTTTGCCCCTCCCTCTTTCCTCTCCCATCTTTGTCCACCTCTCTAGCCTCCTTTCACACCTCTCTCCGAAAAGCTCTAGTGCTTAAACTCTTTACCACCTCATTCCCAGATCTTTACTGTTCACTTGCAAAGTATGTTGAAAGGTTAATACAAAAAAAAAGGTATTTCCTTTATGAAAATACCCTATTTAGTGTACTTATGTTACATTGACTGTGATGGACTTGAGACCTGTCCAGGGTGTACCACACCTCTCGAAAAGTGACTGCTGCATATGGGCACCAGTGACCCCTGCAACCCAGAATGGAAGAAATGGGTAAAGATAATGGATGGATGGATGGATGGATTTCATTGGTAAACAGCCCCCAAGCAGCCAGTATAAATAGCAATGTTTTTAAAATGGGATTTTTGTTCAAGATTTTAAAGTATCACAAGTGTCAAGACTTATAAAACCAACTTTTCAACCAAACATTATATACAGTAGTCCCTCGCTACGTCGCGGTTCGTTAATCGTGGACTCGCTCTCGCGGTTTTTCAAATTAAGATTGGACATGATACACAATTGGCTGATTGATGGATGAGTCGCACAATCGGCATGGAATTTTTATGTAAAATAAATTATTTTAAATTATTTAGCACCTGCTGCATCTTTGTGCAGCCCACACTGCAGGATGAACTTCCTGCTGCAGCTGATCAGCTGTTCACTGTGCTGAGGAGAAGTGGTTCTCTGCAGACCAAAAGTGGGCGTTTCTGGAGAATAGGTGTTACTACAGGACAAACACTGATTGGATAATTGCATTTGCTGGCTCTTTAGGTAAGTTATGTCAGTTCTTTTTTTAAACTGAAGGTTTCTAAGAAACTGAGTTATATCTGCTGTCAAACACAAGAAGATTCTCTTTTGCTCTTGGGTTGTAGGTTGAACCTGACACAGGTTGGCTTGAGTCTGGTCTGGGGACAATGAAATATGAAGGTATCTTTTGTCCAAAATGTCTGGTCTCAATTAAAGATCATGAGTCCTGTAACGAGATTATGGCCCAAAACAAAAGCTAAAAACCAAATTTGCTCTTTAGAAGTTCTCTTCTACAAGATCTGATCTATGAAAGGAGCTGAAACATGGAGTAGGATTGACCCTTAAAATGTGAGACAGCTGAGGAAGTTAACCAGTAAACAGAAATACCCGCTCCAGTTGCAGAAATCTTACAGAAACTGACTCATCTGCAGTGACTGCTTTAAAAGTTGAAAAAGAAAGTGTGAAGTTAAAGGAAACATCCTTTGTCCCAAGGCCAGTTTAAGTATCATGATTATTTTGGTAACTTTATTTTTCTTTCTTTATGAATTGATTTGAACTATTTTCACATTTGTCAACAACCAAAATGGATTTTGTTTTTTAATGTAATGGCTAGGTATTTTAAAAACAAACATTTAGCCCTCCACACTATCCAGTTATGTTGCTCTTATTTTGAAATGTAACCACAAGTTTTGTGTTAAGAGAGGCAGAAAGAGAAGTTATGGAGACGCCGCTAATGTCGAACCAAAGACGCCGCTAATGTCGAACCGGTTAACACCATAGACATAATATGCCTGTGGTTAACACAATCTACCAATAATGCCTTGTTTTTTTTTTAGACATTATGTCTGTTGTTAACACAAACACCTTTTTTTTTTAATTCAGCCTAAGTTTTTTTGTCCAATCAGATGTGGCCCTCCTGAAGTGAGCGTGGCCAAGAGCAGAGGAGGCAGGGAGCTGAAATCATGACATTTTGTGATCTTTTAGAGCGTTTAGAGTTTAGAAACATTGTTTAGAATATTGCAAGAGAGTGGGAAGGGTTTAAAACACCTTATTTTTATATATAAAGGCGTTTTAAACCCTTCCCACTATCTATCTATCTATCTATCTATCTATCTATCTATCTATCTATCTA